TGGGTTTATCACTTTTCCAGCTCCGGCTACTACAGTCCCTGATATTAGTAGTATTTGAACTGCCAGCTGCACTGTCAGTATGTCGTCACTGTACCAAAGGCCAGAGAGCCCAATGTTCTGTGTTGGTGAATATATCAGACTCAAAACCAGAGCCTGAGGGTTCAGAGTGAAGTACACCTGGAAAAATAGTTGTTGACAGCAGTTCCTGTTAATTCCAAGCTGGGAGAGAAACACTACATTTAATTGGGGATTTCTACTTTCTTTCCTGAAATAAGAAACTTTCAATCTGCAGTAAATGTTCAGAACCTAAATCCTTTGAACACTGAAGTACATCGCATGAGCTAAAGGCCAAATCCTATGATTTTTGCTCTCTTTACTGAAGACCTGCATTTCTCTTTTAACAAAACTTGATCACCTAGCAGAACTTACCCTTCTCAAACACTCAGGGGTAAAAGAACAAGCTATCGAGCTAGATAAAAGATTTCAAGAAGCAGCAAGCTATGCAAAATGAAGCAGAAATGTCTCATGACAAGGGAACATGGAAAATTTCCTGCCATAGTGAAGACAATTAGAACAGGAAAAAAATAAAAGCAGAACGATAAAGAAATGCTAAAGTTCATCACCTGGAATGCTTTATTTAGCTGCTTCTTCAATTCATGATCTTCTAAGTGCTTCAACACTGAATTTCAAAAATGAGCATACATTAGAAGAAGCATCTAAAAAGAATGTGGCATTAATTGTCCATCTTTAGACTCCACTCAAATATCTGTGAGTCTTCAAAACCGATTGATGTCAAAGTGTCAAAAGTATGTGACAGTTGTCCAAAATAACTGAGAATTAGAGAAAAAACAGTATTTCAAGCAAACCTTCTTGTCCTCCAGTTATGTTCTTAACAGTTAATCTTGTGTTCTCTCAGTAGAGTTTGAAGAAATCAGTCACAAGCTAAAAAAAAATATTGCAGCAGGTGGTGCTTGAACACTGATAGAAGAAAACACTGAAGTTCCAGTCATGCTGGCAAAGTATATGCACATTACACATTATGCACATTAACAGTAAATCTTCACATTCAATAAAACATACAGATAGTTCAAATATACAGTACTCTGCAACGATACAGTCTTGCTGCTGCAATCACCTCTCACGTTTTCTAACACTAGGATTTCTTCTGCCACTGCCTGGCATCATCCTGTAGGATGAACTTTACACGTTTCATCACCATCTTTAGATCCGTAGCTCTCTTTAAACAATTATATGATTCATACTAAGTCAGTTTCAGCTGCAGGCTACAAAAAGCATTTGACTTATGCAAATTATATCAACTGCTGAAAAAGTTAGTAAAGATTTTACAAATCGTCAAATTCATACTATTTGAAAAGCATAAAAATCCATGCCTACAAGGTGTACTGCATTAAACGAGTTGCCTACAGCTTCTTCTGAAAAAAACACAGCACAAGTATCTGCTGAAACGATGGAGCAGAAGCTGAGTTAGCACAGCTGATTCTCCTGCAGACATCTGCCTGCCCCCATGTCCTACAGCAGGCTCTTCTTCCAACCGGCCAAGCCTGCACAACCCTTAGCTGGAAGAAACGTCCTGAGCAGCTCGTCATGTCCGAGTTACTGTTAGCTTCCCATTTCAAAACAACAACTAATAACTATATGCTTCTGAAGGCATCCAGAACCCCTACATTAATTAAGATCCTGCCCTTTCATAGAATGCTTAGCAGGGAAACTCTGTCATTTCCATCCTCCCTAATTTTGATTAAGATACAGGAAGAGGACTGTAGGTATTCTGCAGCCACTGTGAGAAATGCTATTGCTCGCAAACATTTCAGGTGAGAAAACTATCACAATTCCAAACAAATATTTTTCCTCAACAACAAATTTGTGAACTAATAAACTAAAGCTAATCCGAGATGTGAAATAGTCTCTCCAGCAGCAATGAAGAATCCACAACTTCTGAAATAGTACTTGAAATAAGCATGGAAGTTTTTAAGTTCAGGGAACCGAACGTAGGAAACAGTTAAACTGACAGCTCGCTTAATGCCACATTATGAAACATCAAGACAAACAGTGAGTCTGCAAAGGCAATGTTCATCTACCTTTAGAATTTATGAGGGGGAAAAAATACAACCTACAAGTATTTTGCTGAAGACTAGTCATCAACCTGAAGATCTCCTCCTCAGATTACTAAGCAAGCAGGACACAGATGAAGAATATTAGACACCTTTTACAAATTCCTCAATACACGTAATTTAATTTCATGGAGGAAATGAACATCCGAAGAGAACACATTTCTTTCATTACTATTACAAGCTTGATAAAATAACATGCAGTGGAGCACTGCTGGATATTTAGACCACAGACACAAGTCAGAACTTGTTTAATGCTCTCTGTCAGGTCTCTCAGTGATTACTTTTCTTCTTCTGCATAAGGAGAGTAAGCGCAGCCAAAGTAATACAGCATAACCTCCAGTAAGACTGCTGGCCTGCATGATCACAGAGGTTCTGCTCATATATTGCTTTAAGACATTCAAGCTTCCAACTTCAGAGAGAAAAAGATTAAAACCATCTGGTGTGGCTGATTAGAAGAGAGGGTCACGATTTCCACTGTTCAACATTTATACAACTCAAAAGTTCTGCCTGCTTTGTTGCAAATCAGTATTTTTCTTACTATCAAATTAATTCCCAGAGATAGATGTAGAAAATATAAATTTAGCATTTCATCTTAAGTAGTAGTAATAGACATAAGAAACTGTTACTGAAAATATTTGTCTTGAGCCTTGACTAAGGGGAAAGTTTTCAGAGAAAAATTGATGAAAACAGTCTTGAAGGAGTTTTACTTTTTTTTTTTTTTATCTCCTAAAAGCAACTAAAATGGCCAAAGATAAACCAATCAGAAGTTACTTCAGCTCTGAACAGCAGCATCTAGAGGGAGTGATGAAATCAATTCCATAAGTATTTCAAGTTTTTTGGCTGCACTCCACTTAAACAAGTACTTTTTTTTTTTTTCTTCAAGTCAGGCTTAAACTAGAAGTACCTTCTCAAATTTACTCTGCAGTTAGTGTTTTTCTATTCTTAAAAAAAAAATATCAGAATGTGACAATGATTTGAAAACTGAATTCTGAACTCCTAGTCGGGATACGTACTATAAACAATAATCAGAACAGCAGAAAAATACCTGTGATATCCTGTGGTGCAGTATTGCAGCTACGACCTCACAACTCTCACATGGCACAAAACGAACATGCTTCAACATACATGAAACATCAAGAAGCAAGAGGCACCATCGCTTCTCTGCCTCCCCTACAACTCACTGCAAATAGGTAGCAGCTTTCAAAGCCCAGTTCTGCCTCCTTGCAAGATGGAGAGTCTAAAAAAACATCTAAAACTGGAATCATTTATTTCCAAGCAGAAATAAAATGCATTTAGAAGTGATGAGTACACTTTTGAAAGAGGAAGTGCAGGCCTGGAAGAAAAAAAAAAAAAAAAAAAAAGGAAGGGCTATCACAGGATAAAAAGTCATACAGTTAATAACTACAAAACCAGTTATTCAGCATCAGTTGACTGCCAGTGCCTACCAATTATTTAGGTGGTGGGATTGCAGAGAGCAGATACTGTACGCTTCCTGCATTTTGCAGCAGCAGCCTGTGATAATAACTGGTGCTCATCACAGGCAACTTCTCATCAACTGCCAATACCAGCTGCTGCTCAGTAACTACAATTCGAAGTTCCACATAAACACACATCAAAATTAGCTGCTACAAAAATCAGTTATCATTCAGCAGCTAATGAGCACAGGCTAATGTAGATTCCTAACAGCCTGACCAACAATGCATGAGCAGCAACTGCACCAACAGGTCATCAGTAAATCATACAGCACATCATAGAGCACCTACTCCACACAGCAACACAACAGAGATTTACAGAGAGGCTGTGACAATTTAACATTTTCTTGCATACTTTGTGTAGGAGAACTGAAGGAGTAAGGACAAGTTGATTAGATACCAGCCTTAGTAAAAAGCTGATTTATCGCAATGCTCCTTCATTCAGTATTTTGAAGTTATCAAACATAAACCTCTGGAATGTAAGAACTAACAGAGACCGCTATCTGGTCACTTGATTAATCCCACAAAAATCCAGGTTGTCAACAAAAAAAAGCAAATTCTCATCTCTGTTCCTCAAACTGATGCTACCACTTGTGTGGTCAGCCCTCTTACGGAGCTGATCAGCCTGAAGGGTTTCTGACGAGTTCATTTGTTCAGAGTTAGCCCAAGCATCAATGCTGGCACAAGAAGGAAGCAAGGACATGGACCTGAGTGGAGGAAGGGGGCTGCCCACACCACAACAGCTTAAAGCAATAACAAAAACCTACACCCTTAGTCATGTTTGTATTTAACACGCTGACCAAAGTAATAACTACACTGCCAGTTACAAAGTACCATTCTGCAAATGACAAAATATTTAGTTGAATTACAGACTGTCATACTGAATGTTGAAAAGGTGCCCATTTAGGCCTTTAGGTAGGCTTTTGTCCTTACCTAAAGAGGAATGCAATTCTCAAAACATGCAATGAAACCACTTCTTCAAATTTTTAAATCCATGTTGATTTTTATTTATTATACATCAATAGCTGAAGAAGCCACAACTCAACTGTTTATTGAGAAAGAATATTTTAACACCATATCTGAACTTTTGCTCACAAAATAAATTATTTTAGAAATTTTTAAAGAGTACTTGAGATTCAGACTGTTCATAAAAAACAGTTTTGTGCATACCTGAATCTTATTGTTTCCCATCACCCACCCACAGTTTTAACATATGTCATCTTCAACAAATATTAAAACCAAAAGAACTTTTCCCATGTTACAGGGAATGTTTCCATTTCCACAACTTGTATTGGTGAAACTACAAAATTAAAATAAAACTCCCAAACAATCCAAGCAAGCTGCAAAAAAAGTTTTCATCTCGTTTTGCCTCTAATCACTTATGATTTTTTTTTAAAAAAAAAAGGTAGAAAAATGCAAGTTCTACAACAGCAATAATTTGTTATTAAGTAGTAACTGGATTATTTAATATCACCTGTCGTAACTGCCCAGTGTTAACAAATTGACTTCTAGTCAATGTAATATAGCAGCTTAAACTAGATAAAATTCTTAATTGAAGAACACATACAAAAATCACAACTAATATATTAAAAACTCTGTTGTAAGTATATACAAAATAATTATCAAAGCATTTGGTTCATACAGTGCTGCTCTAAGTCATGAAATCGACTGCTTGATCCAGGAGAGTCAATGCTAGAAATGGATGCCTGGGCAACCATCTCAAATTTGTCTGCTTGGGGACATAGATAGAACAACAGAGAGTCTTTCTGTATTCACTATGAAGTTGGAACCATCAGTAATAAAGGAAAGGAAGCTATTAACCCAAAGAGAAAAAACTTCAACGGTACCGTGACGGAACTACATTTAGAACATAAATGGCAGCAGACTCCATTCACAGTATTTTGTCTGTTCTCTCCAAAAACTCCTAAGGCTGCAGATGGTTTTCTCGAGACTTAGATGTCCACTTAAGACACTCACCAATCCTAATTTCCAAAAGGCAGATGTAATGACTTTCTGTTACAACTCAGGCAAGAGTTTAAACTGGAGACCTGAAGAGAAACAACCTGAAGACTGTGAACCCTGTGTCATCTAGTTCATTACATACTGCTGCCAACCCATATTTAAATGTAACCATGTTTCATAACCAAGAGTAACCAAAGTAACTCCATTCTTAACTACAGTACAAAATCTAAAATAATACTCTGAAATATTTGTTAACACTCAGAAAGGTGCCCAAAAGCATTGCTTGTATTAATACCTTAGACTCTGTATCTCAGTTTGTCATCCAGCAAGTCTGACTCAAAAAAGAGACAACATCTCATGGCTGCAACCATTTCAATATTCAACTATGCACTACAAGGGGTGTGTGGTCCCACATTCAGCTGTGAAAAAACTGCTCAGAATTTCAGAGCTTCACACTCAGTTCTTTCCCATCATACAACTCTTGCAGTTGGTATGACTCGTATTTTATGGAGGGTTTCTCGATTTGCATCCCAGGCTCCAGAACATTCTGTCCAACTACTTTAAGATTCACAACTTTTATTTTCCAGGTATTGTCCCTAACAGGACAGCTAATGAGTCCAAAAATTTGTTCAAAGATGCCCAGACAAGTATTGTCTCTATGTAGCGTGCCAGCCACTGCCACCAGTACTAACCCATGTGGAGACATGACACATTTCAGTCCACTGGCATTCAAATTAGGGTTGAATAGAAGATATTCTTCTTTAACCAAGGACAGCAGACGAAGGCTCACCATTTCTGCACCAACATATTCTTCCATGTTTTTTTCTAACGTGTTGTAACAGAACTTCATTTTGGCATCCTCCCAAAAATGCTGTGGTCCCCATCTTTCTTCAGATTTTACTCCCAAGGGATGTTGAGAATTCAGGAGTTTGAAGAACCATTGACAGAATTCTTCTCCTAGATCATGAATGTCATCTTGTGGTGACTTTTGTCTCTCTCCACGACTCTGCAACCAAGCACATTTTTTTCCTTAGAACTATTTATCCTTGGCATGTGAGATTACCACTTAGAACAACATAAAATTGTGTAAATACTTGTTTTAAATATTCTAAGTCTTCTTCAAGTGTTCTGAGACAGAGCACCTGAAGAAAAACAACAAAGTAAAATCTCATTTACTTTTAAGATCATTATTATCTTATCCAGAGAAGCAGGGTAGGTTCTTTGAATTACAGCTAGAATAGTCCTTCAGTTTTGTCTCAGTCTACAATATATAAACAAAAAGTAAAACCTTGGTTCTACTAAAAAAGGCAGGGGAAGAATTTCTGAGCAACTTCCATGAGTCCAGGATTCTCACACTGAGACACAAAATTTATTCTGAGTAACTTTTCACTGGCTTTCACAGTTTCAAAAGAAGTTTACAGAAAAACAAGAAGGATACAGACTCAACCTGAAAAGCCAATCTCATACTAAGGTGTACCAATTTACTAAAAAGTGCTTATAAATAGGCAATTATGTTGACACGTTCTTCCTGTTTCATGTTGCCTTCAGTCTATTCTTTTTGGTACCTTTTAATTTGCAGAATTGTGCTGGTTTCTGCACCTTCATACAGCTGATACGAACAAACAGCACTTACTGGGAAGTCACCTTTTGAATATGCACATCCTGATACCTGAAACTGAGAGAATACTTCTGATTTCTGGGGGTATTTTACCTGTGTCACTGGAATATGCTAACAATATGCACAACTAATCCAGGAAGAATTGAAACTCAAAGAATTAACGTGTTCCAGAACTTTTTCTCCACCAAGTCGTGTACCTGAATTTAGCCCTGTTTGGCAGTAAGACTGCCAAAAATCATGGAACAGATGCTTGATCACATTCATGAGCAATGTTTGTAGGTCTTCACCATATTTCTAATAGGAAAAGAGCCCAAATCAAAGAAAATCGTAACTTATGCTACCTTTGCTCCTCCAAAACAGACAGAAGTCTTGAGGAATCTCAGTTACTTTTCTAATTGTACAAGTGATCACTTAAAACAGACTGAGACAGTATGACACTGGGATAGGAGGGCTGCAGGGATGTTCACACAGCAGCACAGGCTTACTCTGGGAAAAAAGGCAACTCCATTCAGCCTTCATAAAATCCTTCCTTCAGACTGTCATAAAATCCTTTGATCAGCAGACAGCTAAACTTTCAAAGAATAATTTGAAAAGGTTCAAAGATTCTTGTCTTGGCTAGAAGCCTTAGAGAAGAATGGGTCAGTGACAGAAAGCATGAAACTACTCAAAACACGTTTTCCACTAGTTCCCCATAGGTATGGACAAACCACTTGTGCCCTTTTTTTCTCTTGTTTTGCAGACAATTACATACATACACTCCTAAAATACATCTAAAAAGTAGGGGGCTAAGAAATACTTCAAAATAATACTCAAGTTTAATGATGGGTTGCTGAGACTGACAACAAAGTGGGGGGTATAAAGTTTTGAAGCCAAATTCACAGTAAGTGGCAAAGGCAAGTAGCAGTGAGGAACCAATGGTCATGTTATTAAAACCTTATCAGAAGAGGGTGACAACTCCCAAGTGTTGTATCACTAAATATGTACTGCAACAAAGTAAGCAGTAAGACTTTTTAGATGCTATTACGGGTTAAGCTAAGGAAAAAAAATCTAGCAGTTAAATTCTTGGTATGTCTACAACTGCATGTAGAAGAAGAGCAAAATTTAAGCACAAATATTTAGAAAATTAGTCTGTTAGCAATTAGATTTTTAAGACAGGTTTCTAAGTTGATTATACACAATTGGTTTAGAGGACACTTCTTTCTAAAGGAAGCACTGCTATAAAAGGCAACAATCGTATGCTCAAGTAAGAGTCCTGTGAGCCAATTTTAATTTGTATATATGTAGTTTGTTTACCCTCTGCTTTCTCTTACAACAGATACATTTTTTTACTTCACAAAAATCATCCAAACTTTCCAATGTAAAGATACATGACCTCCAACTGTAAGGTGAGGTGCTTTTTGAACAAGAACTAAAATACTGTGGGGCTTCTCAGTATTTGCAACTGGACAGCAAGACTTCTTATCAAATGTCAAGTTTGCTAATGTCAAAGTCTAGTGAGTATTAAATTAATTATGCTTTAAGTAAGTATTAAGTAATTAAGTATGAAAAGTGTGAAAAAAATGTAATTAATTTCTAATTCTGTTACGTATGCTCCTGTTGCCTATTTCTTAAAAAAAGTGAGGTCCACAAGAATTAAGAGAAAACAAAGGCAAAGAAAGATGTATGTGATAAACCTGCTGAATTTCTCGTTCTTTGTGAATGCGTTTTAAGTACTTTGGAGAATTTACCTACCTTCTTACGTTACTAGGGGGTAATATTTGGGAAGTGTTCGTGCAAAAGCAACATTTTTATTTTCCCAAAGTATGCACACAAAAAATGGTTTTGAAAACAACTCTCAGCTAAGTCATAATTCTCATGAGTCAGCCCCCGAGAGAAAGCTCAATGCAAGAGGTTATCAACAGCTACAGAGCTCTAACAGTCCAGCTGGTGGGGCTGTTGCCCATTAGGTCTCTCAAGTACAACGCCTGAAAGAGCAAGGTGGTTATTTAGAACTACATGGTAAAGATCCAAGACAAATAAAATACCGAAAGTTCGTTACATCACGAGGATTTGCTAAATGTCAACATTTTGAACTTCAAAATAACCTTTAATTCCCAAAACACATTTATACACTGTATTAAGTGTTACTAATATCAAGGGAAAAAAATGACACAGACCTGGCACTGCTACCAAATTTACATTCCAACAATATAAAAATCCAGTTAAATCCAATCTGCACTCTAACTGTAAGAGGTAAAAACTAAACAGACAGTAAAAACTTACAGACAGCACTACTTTGATTGCACTGTCTCTAGAAGTAGATCAAGGCGATTTACAAAAAGGCAATTTTCTCTCCATTCCCTCCTTCCCCTGCAACATTTTAGACCAGGCTGACAAACGTTTTTGCCCTATGATCTACTATTGACAACATCTCTTTGCTCTGCTCTGCACCCTACCAGTGTTATCGCTAACGTGGCTGTAGGATGGCTGGAAATCCCAGATCAATATCCAAAGTTTAAGAAGATCCACCACATTAAAAAGCAACAAGAGGCTATGCAGGGCTTCTGTATCATTAACATTGTTTTCAGTCGTCCTTGAATCCACAGAATTATTTGTGAATATGCTCTGGTTTAGCTTACAGTGCAACTTACACATTAAAAGCAAGAACAAGATCCCACACATTAAGAGTTCAAATGCACTAATTTACTTAGCAAGACAGAGCAGAAGACTGTGCCCTGTAAGTGATATGCTGGCACGGACACCTATAAATGATGTATTTGAAAAAAAACAAACAACAAAACCAAACCAAAACCCAAACAAACCAAGAGTTAGAGACCTCCCTAAATACAGATGAAGAGTCACGTTATGGCTGCACATTAGAATATCTACGCTGGTTATCCTGTGAAAGCAATGCTGAGCATCCTCAAGTCTTTCAGAAAGCAGCACTCACCTCTGTGTGTGGTTTTCTCTCCCCTGACTCTGACACATGTGTTGTGAGCTGCCCGCTCCAGTACTGCTTTACACGATCAATGAGTAGATGTTTCTCAGAGGAAGGAGGCACTGGAATTCCTTGTGCTGCCAAATACTTAAAAATTATTTCTCGATAGACTTTCCTGCGTTTCAAAAGTTCTTCTACATTTTGGCTGTAAACCAATATGGCATGAATGGCTTCTGCAAGTAAAGAAATTCAAGTTAGCAGTTGCTTCTCTCACAACTAAAACCCAAACCTATGCCACTTCCTAAACCCCTGACTAGCACCTCCAAACACAGTACAAGACAAGCCTAAACGAAACTGAAAGACATAAAAGTTTGTTTGCAAACTGAAATCTGGCCTAATGGTATTAGACACAGAAGATACACAAAGACTTGGGAACATATTGAAAACACACTGCTGTTTTTACCGAACACTTTGCTACTTCATAATCCGTACTTCCAGTATCAATGACTGCTTAGAACTTACTATGTATTATTTGAGCTTGTTGAAAAGGATGCAACTTTTTCTTCCAAATGGAACTATTCATATTCAAGTATTTTCAAGCTGGTTAGAAACTTCAGGTAGTATAAAGAGTCTTGCACACAATGCCCTGCACCTATACTTCCTGAGATGTAGCTAGTCTTAATTTCAAAATAAACTCATTTAACATTAAATCACCCAGGGCTCCCTGCTTCATGTCACTTAGAAAAAGCTGAGCTTGGTTTCATTCTCCATTTCAAAAGCTCTGTGATATTTCAAAAGAAGCCATCCACTTACTTAACATGTTACCTATAACAACTGTAAGTTTGTTAAGGAAAAGACTAATAAGAAAAAAAAAAAATCTTTCGATTTAATCTACAAGCACTGCAAAAAGTAGATAAAAAAGCAAGAAGAAAAACCACGTTAAGAACTTCTGAAGAAATGTGTTTGGCTCTGAGTTCTATCACACGAAACATATTCCTATTTTTTGGATGAGACTATTGGAGGGCAATATACTGAGCGGCCTGGGTAACTCACAGACAAAAGTCAGACCCATGAAACAAATCTCAACGTCTACGAAGTGATGGGGGATGGCCACACCTGAAAGTGCGCCATTCTACAGATAAACAAGTTCAGTACTAGATTTATGGTTTACCCTTTCAAAACCCGAAAGCGAGTGTCGTTAAGGCGAACAGCAAGAAGCACTTGGGTTTAAATACGCTGTTAAACGCTAAGAGGGCACGGCAGGGGCGCAGCAGAGCACTGAGCTCAGCGGGGAGGGGGGCTAAGAACTGCCCCAGATCTGAGATTCTGCTACGAGCCACCAGCGCCCGCCCGCAGGTTCCTCGGCCAGAACAAGCCGCCGTTCCCCCGCCGCCGCTGCTTTCGGGTGTGCACAGGCCGGCCCCGGAACAAGGCTCCCAACAGCCACAGCCGAAGCCGCGGCGGCCCTGCGGCGGGGAGGCCGCCGCCCGCCCTCGGGGGCGCCCAG